AAGGTGTCCCGGTCATGTTGTGATGGTGTCCCGGTCATGTTGTGATGGTGTCCCGGGCATGTTTTGATGGTGTCCCGGTCGTGTTTTGATGGTGCCCCGGTCGTGTTGTGACGGTGTCCCGGTCATGTTTTGATGGTGTCCCGATCATGTGATGGTGGCGCTGTCATGTTGTGATGGTGTCCCGATCATGTTTTGATTGTGTCCCAGTCATGTTGTGATGGTGTCCCGGTCCTGTTTTGATGGTGTCCCGGTCATGTTTTGATGGTGTCCCGGTCATGTTGTGAGGGTGTCCCGGTCATGTTTTGATGGTGTCCCGGTCGTGTTGTGACGGTGTCCCGGTCATGTTTTGATGGTGTCCCGGTCCTGTTGTGATGGTGTCCTGGTCATGTTTTGGCGGTGTGCCGGTTATTTTTTGACGGTGTCCGGGTCATGTGACGGTGTCCCGGTCATGTTGTGATGGTGTCCTGTTCATCTTGTGATGGTTTTCCCGTCATGTCATGTTGGTGTCCCGGTCACCTTGTGATGGTGTCCCGGTCATGTTGTGATTGTGTCCCAGTCATGTTGTGACGGTGTCCCAGTCATGTTGTGATGGTGTCTCGCTCATGTTGTGACGGTGTTCCGGTCATGTTTTGATGGTGTCCCGGTCACCTTGTGATGGTGTCGCGGTTATGTTGTGATGGTGTCCCAATCGTGTTGTGACGGTGTCTCGGTCATGTTTTGATGGTGCCCTGGTCATTTTGTGATGGTGTCCCGGTTATGTGATGATGGTGTCCAAGGAAGAGATGGTCGATGTGTTGAAAACAGCAGCTGTTTCCAGATTGTTCTTTTTGCCCCGGTTTGTATCTTGCTATTGGGGTCTCCAGCTGGGCTAATTTGATCTCTCACCCATCAATGATTTGAATCGGTGGGCGGTTGTGGGAGGAATCCTTCCTTTCGTCTGACGGACTGAATTTGAGGTCACGATTCTGATGATTTTGGCTAGCACGGTTGAGCAGACGTCTAATGGCATCATCATTCAGGCTGATCGTACTGATGTTGTTTGGATCCTATGGATGCCTGGAAGCTCTAGGTTTCTCTTGAAACCCTTGTTGGAAGAAGCGCAACGGTTTCTCGCTGGTGTTCTGCAGATGTGTGATGAAGACACGTTTGTATAGAATCGTAAGGACCCTGGCCAACTTGATGTGGATCTACCTGGAGCTTTTTTTCAAGGACGCCCCGTGGGCCATTGGGTGTTTGGCATTGACCCACCAGCCATGACGCATCGACCAAACATGACACTAGTTCCTCATGATGGCCTTTCTTAGGACTCCATAATGATGCGCTACCTGGCATCGCTTGTGTGCTTTGTATCTCTATTTCTCCTGTCGGTCAGCTGGGATCGTTTTGAAGAAAGAGAGAAGCACGAGGTGCTCCATGTTTTGAAAGTGGTTGAATGATTTGCAGCACGACAGTCAATCCAGTTGGAGATTCTTTGCCACTTCAATATGTAGCAATGCCTGACAGGCAGCATCCTGTGATGACCTCGCTGTTGCGTTGAACCAGCATGATGCTCTAGCAGTCAAATGAGCAAAAGTTTTCAAGCGTCGCGGGACACTATCAGGTCAGCAACCTTCTTTGGTGGTGGCATAGCTGCTGACCATCAAACAAAAGATACAACACTATTGGCTTGCGGCACATTTAGGGGCAAGCTGCAACCACAAGCCATTCCGGAGTACTCCCAGCTCCCTCTCGTTGGAACGCAACGGATCGTTGCGCCTCAGAAATCTGACGGCGTGTAGCAGCGTAGCAAGCCATTCCGTTGGAGGTCGTTGCCAGTCAAAGCTTACTGAGCAGCAACCTAAGCAAAGGCCATGATGAACCCCGTCGTAGTCAGCAATCGGCGATAATACAGAGAAGTTGCTAGTATTTGCTGGTGACTTGAGAATTCATCATGACCTGTCGACGTTGTACAAAGGCAGCATTTGCTGCCCCCAAATGGTGTCGTTTCCTTTTGGTGTCACGTAAGAAAAGGAGCAGGTGTGAGCAGGTGTGTCAGAATGTCAGGGTGCGATTGGACCGCCGACTGGAGGTTGTGTGAGGTTTCAACTAGTTGCGTCGGCCTGTGTGAGGGTTCTGAGAATGATCTCGGACCAGCTGATTGTGAGACACTTTGGCATCCTAAAGCATTTGGTCCCCACAGAGCTGGTCCTGGGACGAGTACCAGATTTTCAGGCACCTCCAAAGCCTGGCTGAAGCTGGCGGCTGGAGAAAAGGCCCAGGCAGATGTTGGATTTTCATGGTTGTGTCCGAAGCATTTGAGAGAACAAGCACAGGTTTTGGTCGCTGCAGCCTGTTGTGCTCCTGCTGGCTTGATGCCAAACACCCAGATGTTGTTTTGGCAGTGGAAGGGTGAATGAGGAAAGTTCATCAATTATGTGTGTGCGCGGGTGTGTGTCTGAATGCTATTTTTTGTGATGTCGGGATCTTGTTCTCCCGATATATAACTATTCTTTTAACTCTAGTTACTAGATCCCTTTTTTTCCAATGAATTTGGGTTCGTTTGTTCGTCCCTTTTCCATGGCTGCCTCACCGTCCCATTCTGTCCAATTGGTCCAATTTGTCCTTGGGTGGCTGGATCCATCTTGGTTCGCGGAGGCTGGAGATTGGCACCTACTGCGGGCACTCGGCCATTCGCTTGGCAGCAGCACGACCGGACAGTCGAGTGGTGCTGGAGCCTCGGACACGATCGTTTTGGGTCCCGGTGGGGTGGGGGCGGACCTCGTGTGGTCGCTCAGGACGCTAGAAGTGGACCCAGTCCATGTTGGTGGACCCAGAGAGTTCGCAGTGAGCTCCAGAATCACTGACCTTGGTGACCTTGACCTTGACTCAAACCACTAGGCCATCATTGCACGTGCTCTCGTGGAATTTGCTGGGCTTTCGAGCTCTGTCCAAGTCCAAATCCCAGGAAAAGCATGTTAAAGTGGTTAAAGGTTGAAGCAGCTCCGTAGCTGGCATCGTTAGGTCTGGACAGGCTACAGCCGGGATCTCATCCCCTTCTTGGCCAACAGGTATCGCGTGAGAAGCTCAGGTTCGGAGAAGGAATCAGTTGTACTTGATCAACGATTCCGTTGAAGCTCTTGAAGCATTACAAGCAAACCCGAATATTGGAAGATATGGGGACCCGAGGATGGGCTATAGTCCTCTTTTGGTGAAGATTTCTAATGTTGCGAGGACTCCAAGGGCACCTTTGGCTTTGTGTTCATGGACCAACGGGGATCTCGCTACGAGGAGAAACACACCAAAATGCGGTGTTTGATTTGGTGGGGCGTTTGTCCAGTCGACATGTATAGACTTATGAACTGTACTTATGGACGCTGTACTGTATCTTTTTGATGCTTTCACTCGTTTTCAGTGCACACTGCACAGACCTACCTACAGATTGTTGATAGACAAGCACCAGGAGGATCTTGCAAGCTTACAGCGCCTGAGCCTTCTACGAGAGGAGGCTTCACAGACACTTCTCTTTCCAGACTTGGATGCAATGAGCACTTGAACAAATGAGTGCTGTTGCAGGCTGTAGTTGTTGCTTCAGCCTGAGCTGGTTTGTGCAAACAGAAAGACATGTCAGGGCTTGAGAAGCCAATTACTTAGTGGAAGGACAAGTCTACTACTACAGTGAAATTGCCCTGCTATTCACAGAGCTTCTTTGTTCTACCTGTCAGAAGAGAACTCTCCGCACTTGCTAACCTGCCCAAGCCTTCCAAAATTCTTGTTTCTTTTGCCCAGGCAGACAATGTCCTGAAGCCCGGTGCGCCACGCTACTTGTGGCAGGTCTGCAGATCTGGGGCCTTTGATACCGAGGCGGCCAGTGACCGACGATCTGACGTTTTTGAACTCATTTGATGTGTATGTAGTATATATATATAATATATATATATATATGGATCGAAGAAGCGCCCAGAGTCCGTCTACAAAGAGAGACACAGCTTCAGCCATGGTCCACCCATGTTCCGCCGCGGTCGAGCCATGGTCCACCCATCAGGTCGTGAGAGTCTTCGAGTTTGCGATGCCAGTTGAGGCCGGAGTTGGCCGAGAATGAGGCTGTTTTCTGCGGCTTGGTTTTTATAGGGTATGAGAACGGTTCGAAGAAGTCATATTCGTTGACTATCTATAGTACTGCCGTTCGAACCATTTCTAAAGCAGCCTTGGGCTGCTGGCAGGGTCAACGTGTAATTCTCATTTTTCAGTGCCTTCAGAAACACCCGTCTTGCGTTTTTTTTGCTTCGAACTTCTGGTTCAGCTGCCGTTTGCACCATGGGATGATTTTCCTCCCTTTTTCAAAACAACCTGTCGCTGGTTCACCTGCGAGGACTGGATGTCGGTGAGTGTCGTGAGGGGAGGAACGACAGCAGCGACAGCTGCGTTTGCAACACCCAGTGAGCTGGAGGAGCTGAGTCAGGTTGGATAGATGAGCATTCTGTGAACGAAAAGAAGGATCTTGATTTTGAACATGATGTAGATGAGACTTGATGAAACGAACGGTATGATCCATATGATATATGTTCAAAGTTGAACTGACACTGCGTTGGGATGTCCTTCCAGCAATTATCGGGACGTTTGCAAGATTGATCATTTTTTGTCCGACGACGACTCACGACTGCCGTAGTCGCTTTGTGTTTACCTCACCATGTCCAGGTCAACGCTTGTTTGACATTTCTTGATCAACTGAATTTCTCATTGTTTGAACGAGCCATATATAATATATTGACCTTGGCTTTGTCGTTTTTGAATGAGCTGTATAATAACGCGTTGTACCCTTTGGTTCCCGAAAGAGATGGGACTCCAGCTGCCTGAACATGTCAGGTGGCAGATGAGATGAGGAACCGAGCGGGGACCTCAGAGGTTCTGTCGGCATCCTTGCATCCTTGATAGATCCTTCTTCGAGTCTACAACCAAGTGGCGTTTTGATGTCTCGAGCAAGATATTATCGTTATCGTTCTCCTCTTTCGCCTGGGCATCAAAACTCCAATTGCTAAGGCTCAAACCTCTGGAGGCACGTGCCAGTTCAGTGTTGTCTTCTAGGTATTTGCACTCTGGTTTTGGTAATTTGCAGTTCCACAGTTTCGTACTCGCTTCTTTAGCACTTTGCTTGTGCTTGCCCTTTTGCTTCCAGGCGTCAGCTTTACAGATTGGTCCAGTTTTGCAGAGAAGATGCAACTTGCCTAAAACACTCTTTGGCTGGCCAGAAACTTTGCAAAGCTCCTGAATCAATCTCCTTATATGATCTTGTATTCATATGTTATTTTTTTAAATGTTTGTCGCAAGTAGATGTAGAGCTTGAGTAATTCAGATGACTGTGTGTTTTGTGCCTGCTTCTGTTTTTCGTGCGTTGCTGGTACTGCCCTAAATGGCAAAGTGGCACTAAATGAGACGGGAATGGCAAGCGCAATGACTGGTCTATGGGCCAAAACCCCGGGGTGAACCACTGCAACGGTCCATGCGGACCATTGAGCTCATGGCCCGCTCAGGCAAGAAGGACTCCATAAGCATGGCATCTCAGCCACCCTGGACGTTCATAGCTTTGCGGGCCGTGAAAAGGGAGTGCAGCCTGCTAGTAGCCAGGAGTTGACATTTTGGAAGAGTCGTGGAACTCACCCAGTGCTTGCGATGTTTCTTATCTTGACATCTTCATACAAAGACAGTGACAGATTTGTCAAATCAAGTCAATAGACTTGATGGCACGCTTATTGGCTCTTGTGATCCGGGTGTTGATGCAACGTGAAAGCCAACACACCAACAAGAATTGTTCTGGCAGTGAGGTCGTGAGGTGGGTAACTGAAGCTGAGAACTTGCAGATCTAGCGGTCACCAATCCAACTGCGACGGCAAATACCTGTGTTGATCGCACCAACTGGTTGTGTTCTCCATGCGCAGTAGCCCCCATGTGGCCCCAATGCTTGCATTTGCAACATATTTATCATTCAGGAGATGCTTTGGATAGTGAGGATGTTGCATGCCCGCATGACCGTTCTGGCTTGAAGGGTGCCCCGCCCTGCGCAAGAGGCTTCTGCGCAAAAGGGTTGCTGGGAAGGCACTGAAGTTTTCTAGCGTGTCATGTGAAAGATAGGATTCAGATACTGTTTGCACCCCTTATTTTGTGAAAGAGAGGAGCTTTCCAAGCCATTCTCAGGTTATTGCTGCGCAAACGTGGTGCATCGGATAGATGCCATAGCGTGCGTGTTGATGGAGTAATCCACAATGGGGCAGAACTGAGCTTAGCCAAGCGGTGCTGATCCATAGCCGTTCCCAATGTTGATGATTTGATTCGGATGCAAATGAACCAATCAATTGACGGAGGGATATTGATATCAAAAGGGTCTCGATGATGCGCTATTGAGGCGAGAGAAGCTTTTTTGGGCTTATCAGGCATGTGAACTTGTGTGAGCGTGCTTTATGGTTCATCCTGCCAACCTTTAGACTTTAGCCTTTTCCAAAGCTGAAGTTCTGAAAGTCTGACTAGCAATTGCCAAAGCTTCCTGACATGTCAAGTGGACAACGTGACGGTGCTGCTTAGCTTCTCATACAGAATCTGGTGTTGTGCAGACTGACTCCAGGTGAACGATGATGAGATGAAGTCAGGCGAGAGACAGTCTGAGTCTTCGAAACATTGCGTTCTCTCAAGCCGCGCGAAATTGCTTAAAGCCGTGTCAAAGCCGTGTAGTCTCTTGGAGTGCGCTGAAATGCGAGCCGTACATGCCTTCCATTGTTTTCCCTTGGCCATGGCAGTCTCTTGGAGCTTTTGACTCTAACTGTCATGCTTTGGAGGTGCTCGGCAGAGGTTGGCACAGAGCCAGGTGGGGACACCACAACCGAGTTTGGGACACTTCTGCTTGTTTCGGTGTGTAAAAAAAGAGATGTGTCCTTTTGAACCTTGTTTGTTTGTTTGTTCCCCAATAGCCATGCTATGGGGTCTTGCAAAACTAATAGGCGGACGGGCGCCGTTGGGTCACCGTCAGAGCTGGTGGGCGGATGGTGTCCCGGTCATGTTTTGATGGCGTCCGGGTCATGTGATGCTGGTGTCCCGGTCATGTTTTGATGGTGTCCCGATCATGTTTTGATTGTGACCCAGTCATGTTGTGATGGTGTCCCGGTCCTGTTTTGATGGTGTCCCGGTCATGTTTTGATGGTGTCC